ACAAAATTTAATAATAATAATAATAATAATAATAATAATAATATTATTATTATTATTATTATTATTATTATTATGTGCAAAACACACCCTTATTATTATTATTATTATTATTATTATTATTATTATTATTATTATTATGTGCAAAACACACCCTTATCTTATTGACACATTTAACATGGTACATGGAGTCCGACATCTTTAAAATAATACTTCAATAATTAATAACCTCTGACATTTATAAAATTTCTAGAATATGGTCGCGGTCTATGTGCATAATTGAATATTTCAATTGTCTAATAATAATAATAATACAAAATATTAAAAAATTAACCAGGATCTCGAAGTACCTTTTGAGTTGCAACGTGAAAATAATCTAAAGGTCAAGAAGATAAATACATTAGCTAATGATGATTAATTTATCTTTGTTAGACAAATCGATCACCATCCATATTTTTTCAATTTCCTCTTAATGATGTGTCGATAAGATCGACGGAGATAATGGAGATTGATCAAGATCACAAAGATTGATGAAAATTATGACTTAACATAGTTATTTATATAATGGTATTAATCATATTTATGTTATTACATCTATCATATTTAGATTGATATCGTAGTTATATAAGACAATACTCTTCTTAAATAATGTAAATAATCCCTTAAAGGGAGATCGTTCCGTCAATTTTTTTTTATTATAGTATTATAGCATACTTTAACATTATGCTGACATATACATATATCGGATTGGACATAAGATGTAAACTGACATTATTTAGCCTGATTAAGCCACACAATCCGTGCATGCCATATAAGACAACTTCACATTTTCGGATAACCCAACTTGCCATGAAATGCAAATTGAATCGGATCAGACTGCTTGATACATTACAAAATAATAATAATAATTATCAAGCAGTCTGATCTATACAGTCCTATGTGCAAAACACACCCTTATCTTATCGACATATTTAACATGGTACATGGAGTCCGTCATCTTTAAAATAATACTTCAATAATTAATAACCTCTGACATTTAATAAAATTTCTAGAATATGGTCACGGTCTATGTGCATAATTGAATATTTCAATTGTCTAATAATAATAATAATACAAAATATTAAAAAATTAACCAGGATCTCGAAGTACCTTTTGAGCTGCAACGTGAACTTAATCTAAAGGTCAAGAAGATAAATACATTAGCGAATGATGATTAATTTATCTTTGTTAGACAAATCGATCACCATCCATATTTTTTCAATTTCCTCTTAATGATGTGTCGATAAGATCGACGGAGATAATGGAGATTGATCAAGATCACAAAGATTGATAAAAAATTATGACTTAACATAGTTATTTATATAATAGTATTAATCATATTTATGTTATTACATCTATCATATTTAGATTGATTTTGTAGTTATATAAGACAATACTCTTCTTAAATAATCCCTTAAAGGGAGATCGTTCCGTCAAATTTTTTTTTATAGTATTAGAGCATACTTTGTAGACTTCATATTGAATCCTAAATTTTTATTTATTTATTTATTATTATTATCATTATTATTTTTTTCTTGGGGGGCGGGGGGGGGGCATAACTCAGCCTCTCAAGGATGGGTTTATTGTGTGATCCACGTTGACAAAAAAATTTGTCAACGTGTGACTCTTGTGGTAGGTGATCGACGTTTGACAAAATTTTGTTAACATGTGACTGTTGATGGTTGACATAATTTTTTTTAACATATAGTTATTTTTGGACTGTCCATAGGAGTTGGGCTATTGAATTCTTTTGTACATCAATCTTTTGTTAATAAATTGATATTTCTTGATCATTCAGTATTAATTTGAAGAGGGATATCATTGAGATCAATAGATATCATGGAAATTGATGAAAATTGATGAAGATTATGACCAATGTTTTAAAAATCAGATCGGACCGACCAGTTCAATCGAGAAACCCACGAATCGTTCAAAATTCTGGTTCAGTTCATTCCCAAACCCCACTTTCTTGAAACCAGATAAAAAACCGGTCAATTGAACAATTTAATTGTTAACTCAGAAACCCGATGCCGATTTTAACCGGCTTTGGCAGTTTGTATTTAGTATAAAATTTAAACTTTTCACATCTCAGCCTATTATAATAGAAAGAGGCCCAAACACTAGCCATATCAAGTAATGGGGTTTATTGTGTGATCCACGTTGACAAAAAAATTTGTCAACGTGTGACTCTTGTGGTAGGTGATCGACGTTTGACAAAATTTTTGTTAACATGTGACTGTTGATAGTTGATAGAAATTTTTTTTAACATATAGTTATTTTTGAACTGTCCATAGGAGTTGGGCTTTTGAATTCTTTTGTACATCAATCTCTTGTTAATAAATTGATATTTCTTGATCATTCAGTATTAATTTGAAGAGGGATATCATTGAGATCAATAGATATCATGGAAATTGATGAAAATTGATGAAGATTATGACCAATGTTTTAAAAATCGGATCGGACCGACCAGTTCAATCGAGAAACCCACGAACCGTTCAACATTCTGGTTCAGTTCATTCCCAAACCCCACTTTCTTGAAACCGGATAAAAAACCGGTCAATTGAACAATTTAATTGTTAACTCAGAAACCCGATGCCGATTTTAACCGGCTTTGGCAGTTTGTATTTAGTATAAAATTTAAACTTTTCACATCTCAGCCTATTATAATAGAAAGAGGCACAAACACTAGCCGTGTCAGGTAATTACCCACCCTTTTATAGAGTGACTTTAGAGCATAATTATGTATATAATTAAGATGGCATAGACATTGTGTGATTAATTGGAAGTTGATCAATGGTAGCTGCAGGTCCTTGAACATTATAAAATATAAATGAAATAATTATTTTAAGTAGTTGTTCTGAAAATTAATAACCTCAGCTATTAATAAATTATCGCCGTATTAATTTAAAGAGGTTAGTCTGTAGATACAAAATTCAAATATGATGGATCTTAAGGTAAATTTCACTTTTGGAGGGAGATGTGCATTGAACACAACATTAAATACATGTCAAATTATTGGAGATCACATAAATGTATGTGGGAATCCTGGCTAATATTATATACAGACAAGATTAATTAGTAGCAAAAGACAAGAGATTTTAATCAAACTAAACCTGCATTTCCCAATAACATAAGATAATAATCTGTGCAGGGATTCTTTATTTTAATAATTTGGTTACCCTCCCTCAGTTGGAAATCTTGAAATCTCCAAAATACCCCTAGTTTAAGGACCATAAAGTGGTATTAAAGGGGCAATTCTGTCTTTTCGAACAGCTTATCATCCTTGCTGGTGCCTAGAGCATTGTCCAATAAAGTAATGTTAAAGATGGTCACAGTAAGACAATGTTTGGATAAATTTTGAAGTAACCTGAAATTTTCTTTCAAAGTAACCTGCAGTCTCTGACTCTCTGTATGTCTTCATTTAAGACAAATTTCTTTAATTTTCAAACTCATTTTCGATCACACATTCACATAATAAAATATTTTATACGTAAACTGATTTTTCCCCCATTTCTAAACTACACATTTTCTAAAAAATACGATGTGAAATATTATTTTTTCCAGAAATAATGGCCATCAAAGAACGGCTAATTTCTCCGTGGATTCAAAAATGATAATAGAAAAACAATAATGCAGGCTGTTCAGACCACACACATTATAAGGGGGGTGGGTAATTTTTTTTTTTAAATAATCCCCCACCCCCTCACACAGCATGTGAGGGGACCTGTACAGATTAGGCATTTTTCATAGAAAAAAGTAGTATGCATCCTAATCGTAATCACTATATAACGAATATGAAAGAAAATGCTTCTTCATGAACTGCAATGTGGAAGTCACCAACCCTAACTCCAAAATCATGTGAGCAATCATCCCTACTTGATTGTTTAGTCCTTCTCAGTGATAAGAGAAATGAATAATTCATGAAGAAATTACTTTAAAACTTGTTTATTTACTTATAAGTAAATTTTGATGCTAAGCGAAACATGGAATAATAAAAAATAAGTACACACCCAACATGGAGAACAACAGCATATGATAATCAGTCAAAGAAGCTAACTTTTTTAGTGGACATTAGCAGTGGCTTTTCAGCTCTCTGTCTCTCCATCCTCTGTGAGATTACACCCCACACCACTCCACCCCACCTACACGTAGAAATGAAAATAAAAGGAAAAGAAAAATTAAGGGCATGCATGATATTTTACTCTCTTTTTGTGCTTTTATATTTATCTTTACTGTTAGTGGGCTAGTCCTTATTATTTTTCCCCATCTACACTACTTTTCCTGATTCTCTGAGAAGGAGACAACTCTGAGTACTTGTTTTCAAGTCATATTGTGGCTTTTCTTTAGTAGTGGTGCTTTTGCATTTTTATTTTTTTGGAGGATATCTGGTGTGAAATGGCCAAATGCGCGGGCCTGTCTTCGGATGAGCTTTTGAGATCAAAAGATTGGAGAAAATGATTGATTTTGCTAGCAGTTTGTTGAGTTTTTCTTTTGCTTCACTTCTTGAGATCTAAAGGTGGGTATGGCTATTTTAATGGCAATTGAGCTTTTTCTTGGCTTGGAGTTCAAGTGTTTGCAAAAATGTCGCCTTTAATGATTTTTTCTTTTTAATTATTATATGGGCCATACTAGGCACTTAATAGAAGCATTAGAGATCCAGTTTTTCAATTCTTGGATCATATTGGATATTCAGAAGTAGATTTTTAGTTAAAAGTTCTAAATTTTTAGTTGGGTTCATGCATTTCTTGCCATTGTTGTATAAGATCCTTGAAATGCTTCAGAGTGTAGGAAAAACTGGATTTTAGCCTTATTTTATCTCAAGAAATGGGTATGATCTTCATTTGGTAGTAGATTTCAATTTTTTGTTAAAGAATAAATTAGAATTGTTCATTTTGGCTTTGGGTGCTTTTCAAAATGAAATTTTATTTTGTTCATCTTAAACAAAATTGAAGAAGATGAACAATTCTGAGTAGTGGCTAAAAGTATAAATTTTTGTTCAAGTGGAATATTTTCTGTCATCATATTACATTGAATTAATATTGGCGCCTGTAATTGCATGCTGATCTTGGTTATGCTTATATTTATTGTACTTGTGATCATGTTTTAGTTTATTGATAATGTTGTATTCACCAGCTTTTGATTTTTAAGTACTCTGTAACTACTTATGGGCGGCTTGGAGCAATATTGTAAACTCAACATTTTCATCTATTTAGTTCATAATTAATTTTGGAATCTCGTGATTTGACTTAGTATATCTATATTTTCTAGGCAGTGTATTAATCGATGATACTGGAGTGACTAATGGAGTTGGACTTCGACAAGTATTGTGTTGTAGAAGGAAGTCCCACAACAGTCCTACAGGCTCCTAGACCTCAGTCGAAAGTGGGAAATAGAAAATCAAATGGAAATCTCAAATGTGGAAATGATATACGGACTATCAACGAAAACTTTGCTGAGATTAGCTTTAATCGCTACCGTAGTGCATCTTGTAGAGATGTTCCACGTACAAGCGCCAAACGAGAAGGTAATGAGGTGCTGAGGAGGGGTTCGGTTTATCAAAGTTCTAGGGAAGTGAGGCTGAAGAAAAAAATAGTTCCTGTAGAGGGAAGGAAAAAAATTGAGCTCTCGCGAGGGAGTGCACCTATATTGCCATTTGGAATTATTGATTCCTTGTGTAGCTCAGATGAAGATAGTTTACCAGTTGACCGGAAAAGGTCCTCAGTAATGTTGCTAAACTCAGATCAAAGTACAGCATCTGTTAGCAATCCCTGTATAGAGTTGAGTTCTCGGAATTATTTAAATCATTCTTTCCGTCCTTGTCCAGGAAAAAGTTTCCCACCAAATGTTTCTTCTTTATGTTTGGATTATGGAGAAAACCAATCTGTTGTTGATGCAAATAGCCAGCCGGTTCAGGATCCCAAGACCACTTGTGAACCCGTGACTGGTCCTGTAAATGATGGAAACATCTTACGGTATAGAGATCAAGATGTCATTTATCACAAGTCATTATCAGAAAAATTGGCTTTATCGCATTTTCCTTCTCGATCAGAGAGTGATAGCTCGAGGGCCAGCAGTCCAAAAGTCCGGTTTAGTCCTGTTAGAAAGTTGTTCGATCCATTTGTTAAAGCCAAGTCTCAGAGAAGTCCGTTGAGTTCTGCTAATGAAGCTGGCCAGGAAACATTAACTGGGATAAAACCTAACAAAATATTGCTTGAATCCCTGCCGCAAGATTTAGCTGAAATACCAAACGATTTGGAATGCAATTCTTGGTGTCAAGAGAAAGAGAACTGTTCTTCAGTTTTGCAGTGTTCTCCAGCCCACCTACATGGCGTTCTCAAGTTGGAAAATAAACACGGAGTGCCATTTTTTAAGTTTTCAGTTAAGTCACCGGAAGATGTTTATGTGGCAAAGACATGGAAACCAGATAATGCTTTAACTTCGGTCTACACCTTCCATTCACTTCACCATAGAAGAAAGAATAATGCTAGTGGGTGGGGATTGAGAAATGACAACAAGGAATCGTCTGTGGTGGGACAGATGCAAGTTTCATGTTATCTATGTACCGAATTAAAAGGTGCTGGTTCTTTTGACAACTCTATGGTGACAGAATTCGTGTTGTATGACATCGCACATCCAACGAAAAGTATTTCCTCTCAAGATAATTCCAATTCATCCCTTGATGTTGCTAAAGCAGCCCGGGTTTCTGATGAAATTTTGTATTGTGGTAATCCTGAACTGGATGAGGTCTCTACTAGGAAGAAGACTAAACTTCAACTTAAGCATTCTCGTGACAGTGGTCACTTCAACTCATCAACTCCACTTCCTCTGCTGGCAGCAGAATTGCATCCGGAGCTTGAAATTGCAGCTATAATTATGCAAATTCCTTTTGCGAAGAGAGAGAGTCTGAAATTTAAGAGTCGGGATCGAGAGAATGATAAGCTGATTTCTCAGTTGCTTGTTGCTGGTGGGCTCAAGCAGCGAAAGGCAGGTATTTCTGATTCTGCGAGTCCTGGAAAAATGCACGTTGTGATTCCATCTGGAAACCACAGTTTGCCAAGTTGTGAAAGTCGAGGCCCTTCTCCATTACTAGATAGATGGAGGTTAGGTGGAGGATGCGATTGTGGTGGCTGGGACATGGCATGCCCTCTTAATATTTTCGACAATCCGAATATTCAAATTACTGAAGACCATCCCCCGGTGGACAATCAGCATCCATTGGAACTTTTTGTTCAGGTAATCGCCCTCAATCACGCGTTTCATGATCATTCATTATCTGATGGCAACTTTACTTTAGTCTCTCATGTTGAAGACATAATAAATAAGTTTTCCCCCTCTGTAACAGCTCAATCTTTTAGACGAGGTTGTTCGACATGCTATCAGAGCAGTCTCGCGCCCATTTATGAAAATTTGCACATGTAACATCTTTAATGAGAGAATGAATCTCAAGGGGCGTGTCCAGGACATAATTTTGAATTAATTGATTTGTCACCTTTTTAACAACTTGAGCTTTTAGATGAGATGGTTCAACATCAAGTTAATATGGATGCTTGGTGAACAGAAGGCAATTACGATTTTATGATCTGAGGCAAAATTAGGCCAAGGACAAATAATACAACAAAAATATTTTAACGAATGATTATATGAATTTCTTACCTGTGCAGTTGGTAAGCATCAGCTTCTTAATCTATGCAGTTTTCAGGAATGATAAACGAAATAGGAAGGTTGATATTACCTGCTTTCTCTTTTAGTCGTGTATCGATGTCTTTAACATTCTTATTTCATCAGTGTATGGCATTTTAACGCCTTTCGAAAATTCTCGAAGTAACGATGTGCTTTGACTTGGAAATCTGTGTCAAAATGTAACTGCTGCTTTCTATTTGCCTTAAAATCTAACAAATTTTCTCGATCTGTGTACAGGGACGAAGAGATAGTATACCGGCACTGACCATGAGGGCTACTGATGATGGACAATACACTATTGATTTTCATGCTCAGTTATCTTCTCTACAAGCATTCTCAATTTGTGTTGCTATTTTGCATACTGCAGAAGCCTCCACCGCCGTCGGGAAGGAGAGAAACAAAGAAGCGTTGCAATGTGATTCCATGAGGGTGTTCGCCGAGGAGGAAATCAAAGGTTTGATGGATGCAATAGCAGACGACGAGAAATGCGAAGTTAACAAGAAAATGGAAGAAGTTTTGCCATCTTTTGTACTCGATCCACCCTTCTCTCCAATTGCTCGAGTATAGTAGCTCTTGAACAAGTTGAGATCAATACCAATCTTCTCTGTATCGATCCAATTTTGTCACGAGATACTTTCCACTACCCCTCAACCATAGGATGCTCAAATCAAATTCAGGCAAAGTTCTTTATGGGGCTACTCTAAAGACAAGGATCGCTGCGTTGGAGCCGGGAAACTATTTTTTTTCTTGGTATATTTAATTTTTTACATCCAAAATTTGAACAAAAAATTATACTTCTTATATAGTTAGATTGATAAGTTAGGGAGGAAATAGTGACCAGTTAATCAGTGAGAAGTACCTTTTGGGAGTCATTTGTGACGCTTTTATATTGCTTGTTGTACCTACACAATAAAAGGAATATAACCCTTTTTTTCTTTTTTCCATGTCTTTGGTAAATATTATTCTTTGCTTCTTCTGTAGTATTGTGTGGTTGAAGTTGGAGGACAATAACTCATTCTATTGGCAAAAGATCTGGATAATCTTGTCGAAAATAAGTAGGAAAAGAATTATAATTAGTCTAAATTAAGCAGAATGGAGAAAGAATTATATTGTCCTCTTCAACTTTAGTCAGGCGTTTCACTATAGTTGCATGGCTTTAAGGGAACACACTGTCCCATTAGCACAGTGTCTTGAGGTGGCTTGTACTTTTGCGCGCAAAAGGAGAAATATTTTATTAACAAAAATGAGCGCCGTTGCCGGGGATCGAACCCGGGTCACCCGCGTGACAGGCGGGAATACTCACCACTATACTACAACGACTTCTTGTGAGGGTGGCTGTAAAAATTATATATAGTAAATTAACTTTGGTCAAATCTACAACCATAAATAGAGTTTAGTTTGTTTTATATCTTTTTCAGGATTGTTCAAGATTCAAGGACGAGGCAAAACTCAACCACAGTACAATGACAAAATTAAAATTTTTTTTTCCTTGTTCAACAATATTCAATCAATCATACATTTATATACCATTATAATCTACAATCGAGTTTTAATACTGATGTGTGAAAATTTAACATGTCTATAACATAGTAAATTATAAGTCCTAGGATTCATTTGATCCCTTCAAAGTGGGACGGGCTCAAGTATTATGAACATGATGCACAATATCAAGTAGAGAAGCTAGGGCCAATCTAACTCCTTGTCCCTTCGTATGAAGTGTCAACCAACAATGTCAGTGTATTTCAAGTAAATCATTAGAGAGAAATTGAGGAAAAGTGAGTGTGTGTATGGCAAGCTTAAAAAGTTTACTTGTAAGTAAATAAAATTTTAAAATAATTAATCGGAAATAAACATGCTCATAATGATGGAGCATCCTGAAAGTATAAGCAGAACGTATCCATGATCAAACTATTAAATATTTATACAACAAATATCATATGTAAATGAAATATCTAATTTAAATGAAGTGTCCAAGTGGTGGAAAGTGTGAAATTTGTGTGGGAGGTTGGAAATTTGGGTAACATTTGATGCAATAATAAAAAAAAAGTCTCTTATTGAAGCCTTGAACTTCCTTGATTAAAATAAATTTTTTTTATTTTAATTATTTTCGAAATTATTTAATAGATCAAACTAGTCAATATTTTTTAACAATCCATTATCCACGTTCCATTAAAATTGCAAATCTTTCTGGATCATGATGAAAACAGTTATATTTCTTCTAATATAAATACTCATATGATTTTGGAAAAATACATCAAAAAATGAGATTATGATTTTTATATTCCGTTATTTTTTATACTCGAGTTTTACATCTTTTTTAGGAGTACTGGTCCTTGACACGTGCGTTGCACGAATTTTGTATTTATTGTATTTTTATTAGCGTCAAAATTGTAGATTTTTTACTTATAAGTAACTTCTTATATTTTACAAATATTTTTTGTCTGTATTTTTATTTGTTAATAATTTCTTACATAAAAGTGATTGTTGAAAATAAAATAGTGATAACAATAAATATCAACAAATAAAAATATTACTAATAAACAAATTCAAAGAAAAAATTAGTTTTCATGCTTGAAAGTCTCAATCCTCCATAATACGGAGGTTTGATCTCTCTATAACAAGAGACTTGATCTCTCATAACAAGCCTCCGTATTACGAAGGAAAATCCTCCGTGATACGGAGGCTTGATCTCATGGAGAGATCAAATCTCCATAATAAATATGGAGAGATTCCTTTGATATTTTTTTTATTTAAATGATATTTTATTTATAGATCATCTATTTAACATATAAGTTAATATTTAATTTTAAAAATTAAATATATCTAAATATTTACTCCAAATTTTTAAGTTAATATATTGTTAAGTTACAAGTAATTTTTACAATTATAAGTTTTTTTTTTTTTACTTTTAAATAACTTTAAGTGAATTTTTTTTAACATGTATTTATGGAATTCACACTTTTGCTCTTAAATTAAACCCCTCAATTAATTATTATTTAAACGGCTCGTAAACATTTTGATTGATATTATTTTTTGGTCATCCAAATGGTTACTATATATCTTTTACGTACATATATAAAAATAATGTTTTTATTTATTAAAAAATGAATATATTTATTTTTCGAAAAATGAGTTTTTATTATCATTTCATTTTTATTATGAAAT